ACACTACACCCATGGATATCCGACCAAACCCCCCCCCCCCCCCCCCCCCATCCCCCCCGGCCCCGAACGCCATAGTGTAATTCTTCACTGCAAATGCTCCCTGAACTTTGAAAACACATACTACAACGCCTCGCTAATGCTTTCCTGCTGCAGAGCCGGCAGCCTTGTCACCATTTGCTCTTGAAATCTTCGCCATTCCTGTCTCATCGAGACTCTCATACCATGTCTTCAGCTGCTCGAAATGCCTCTTCTCCCCGTCTCCGTACTCCACAGGAGGTCCACGGACTTCAACTTCGTCATCGCCCTTGAAAACTGCCCAGCTACTGGCTTCTTCATGTGAACGCAACGCAAAGCCGCGGCTCGACAACGCAATCACTTGAAAATTCCGAAGTAGGATACCATCGCCTGCTTTGATGATAGGCAGAGCATCCTTATATGGACGAAAGACCTGGATTTCAGTGACACCACTTGGAGCAGTTGATGGGTCGGTCACATTGAAAGTTACTTGGTAGTGTCGTGGACCACCTTTCGCTCTTTGAGGTTCTGGCGGAGTCGTTGTAGCCACAGCCAGGACATCAAGCTTCTTATTAAGATGGTATCGAAGCACTTTCAAAGGCGTAAATTCGCTTAATTCTGTCCGCAAAGCTCGAGTGAGCCTCAGCTTGAGCTCAGCTCCTGTCTTTCGCGGATTATGCTGCGGTGGTGAGGAAGATGCCACCTCGGAAGTATCTATATGAGCGTTTCGAAGGTTGTGCTGAGGCGCCGGGGGTGACTCAGCGGCAACGGTGTGGTTGCGGAGATTGTGTTGCAGCGGTGAGGAAGCAACATGAGATGTACGAAGATTGTGCTTGTTCAGCGGAGATATCTCGGCAGCCTCGGATGTTGTGTTCTGGCGGTTCCGAAGGTTGTGCTTTGGTAGGGAAGAATCGGATGCTTCAGATGCTGCAGCACGAGGCTTTCGAACATTGTGACGTGGTGAGGACGGAGAGTCGGCTGCTTCGAGCGCAATTTCGATGCTCGCATCGTGGCCTTTGGGTGCTGCATGGGCATCGATCACGACCATCGGTGATAGCCCGTCAGTGTCTGAAATGGCTGGTGGAGCTCCGCTAGATCTTGCCGGCGTCACGGGGCAAATGTTCTCGTTTGTACTTGCCGGTGACTTGGTTGTTGACTTCCTGGGCGAGACTGAATTGATGTTTTCCGTCGTGTTGGTGGTCTCGATAGGGGTTGCAGGACGAATATTCTCTTCTGTGTTTGCTACCACTTGAATCGGGGGGTCTGCACTTCTGGTACTTCGCCGGGAGCTGTCATTGGCAGTTTCTTGCTCCTCCGCAGCATCACTTCCGTCGTCTCTGGCCTCCTCAGAACTAGAATCCGCAGCCCCGTCGTATAACACCAAGCCACCACCAAGTGTTGCCGAAGCTTCGGGTTCTTCAATAAACACCGATCTAGTCTCTGTGATAACAACGGTCTCCGTGATCTCATCCTCAGTGACCTCGCGAGATTCCTGCATCTCTATCGTATGACTAGCTTCTACGATCTTGGCAGACTCATCCCACTCGGTAGGCACAAGCTGCACGTCATCGTTCGCAACCTCACCTTCAGGATCTTCTTCAAGTTGGTCCTGCTCCTCGAATCTGATCGTACTAGTTACAACTTCTTCGATTTCGATAGATTCCTCTTGGCTTACGCCTGGGCCAAGAACGTTTTGCGTCTGTTCGACAAATATCGACTTCAATTTTGTCGCCTCGACCTTATTGGTAACTTCGTCTGTCTGGTCCATGTCAATCTCATCATCTTGCAATACCTCACGTGATTTGTGACGATGCTCACTAGCAGATGAGAAAGATACTTCCGTGGAGTTCATACTATTTGAGATTTGAGTATCCTCTGGTGTCGGGAGCTGTCCATGATCAACACTTGAAGTTTTGTGATCTTGGTCCTGGGAAAGTCTTCTTAGAAAGATCGATGGCTGCGGCGGCGGCTGTGCGACTGATAGAGAATTATACGAAGCTTCAAATCGTGGTTCGTTATTGACCCCGTCAGATCCTCCGCGAGCTACTTTGGTTGGCATCGGAGTTTCATTGGCCACTGATTTCACCGGGATTTGAACCTCCACTACATTCATCTCTTCAACGGCTTCAGGAGTCCGAACCTCTGCCGCGTCGAGATTGCTATCCTGCTCATCTGCATAAGGTTGCAAATCTGACTCTGAATCTTCACTACCATCGTCGTCAATCTCGTTTTCGCCGGAGGCCCCATTTATTGATCGCTTTGCATAGGGTAGCGAGTCATATTCCTCAGATTCTCTGGCCTCACCTCGCTCATCGTCTTCCTCATCACTCTCGGCATCTACAAGAGGATAATCTGCTGAGGTTTGTGGCAGAGATGTAGGCGAGTGTCGTCTGGTCGACATTGCAGGGCTTTTCGGAGTTTCTTCATCATCATCAGAGGAGAGTAGGTCAATCACTTCAGGCAACTTTTGAGGCCGAGCTGGAGGTGGTCGCTGCAGCTCCTCTTCCTCGGATTCATCGCCGTAGCTCCCCTCCTCGCTTTCTTCGCTGTACGATCCCTGGCAATCCTGATCACCAAGATCTGATTGGGGGTCAGGCGAGGGGCTGAACCAGTTTTCAGATTCGTGATAAACTTCTTCATGGAGCTCTTCCATTTCTGTGTCGCCCCCGTAGCCTCCCCCTTCGTCATGAGCTGAAAGTTGTGAGCCCTCGAAGCTTTCAGGACTGTAATCTTCCTTGGGAGAGTCATGCTGGTTGCCAACACGACCGTGCTGCTGAATATTCACAGTTTCTTCCCGTCCTTCTGCCCCTATCTCTTCTTCTGCAGCAGACGCGGCCATCTCATCTTCGAGAATTTCCAAGGGTATGGCGGTAGCAACTTCATCATTTCTCTCCGTGAAATCGATAGCTGGGGCGACTGGTCCATTTTGAGGCCGCAAAATAGCTGAAGGGAAAGGGGGCGGAAGGGGATATGCTGAAGATTCAGGGAGATCAGGATATGCGACTGAACTGGCACCCCAGCCCGATGTGACCTGCCCTGACAAGCCTTCACCGAGGGGAGGGTACTCGGATAGTGGCATCTCTGTACTTGCCTCAAGCAGCCCTTCATCAAGGGTTGAATAGCCTTCTATGTTCTCGCAGAAGCGGCCTTCTTCCGTAAAGAGTTCATTACTTGGTCGTGACCCAGGATGGCTTGATAGTACTCCTCCACTTTTCCATTGACCATACTGATTTTCAGAGGCATACTGTTGCCCGTCCACACTTGCGTTGCCAACGCCGCTTTGGTCGTCGACGGCGTTTCTGAAGCTCGGAAATTCAGGTCCTTGGTCCTGGTCCCGACGGCCGGCAGGACTCGCACCATAGATGTCTTCTTCCACTGGCTCCACATCGGCCGAGAGGGCGCTGTTCATCACACTGGTTTCCGGCTCGATAATAGGGGGTCGTTGCTCCCCTTCTGCTTCAAGTTGCTCGTTATGCTGAAGTTGGCCATATTTAGAGGATACAAGAGGTGAGACAAGTTGCAGAGAGTCCGAGTGCACTGGTTGCAGGCGGGGCGAGCTAGGAGTCTCGAAACTTGGTTCTTCTGCTTCTTGATTTGGATATTGCGTTCGAATAACGTTTAGTTGTGGCAAATCGTTGGGGCTTGCCAGAAACGGAGTGTCAACCTGCATTTGAGCTTGGTTCAAGAACGCGGGGGACGGGGGCACTGCATGAGTCGCGCCTCCAACACTTGTAGCCTGTGGAGAGAGGTCTGCCATGGTTTGGGCCATGCCTTCCGTAGCATCATTCCCATCAAGGTTGACTGTTTGGCAACCTTCATCTGCCATCATAGGGGGTAGTTTTGGCGCCGATCCAGGAGCTGTATTTATGTCCTCGACTTGCGGCTCATCAGCTTCTGGGGACGGGGATCGACTGGTATATTTCCAACTGGTAGTACTCAAACGAGTTTTCTTTCTGCCCTTTCCTCGCACTGTGCCATCCTCTTCTCCAAATGGATCAAAATCTGACTCAAACATTGATCCATACGATGTTCTTGCACGCTTCAAGAACGCTGGAGAGGACCATAAATCACCGCCCATTATCCCCATAAGAGAGTTGTTTGCGGCGATGCCATTGTCGGTGGGCGACACAGGCTCGGCGGGCTCTGTAATTGGAATTCTAGCTGGAATCGCAACTTCTTCGACTAGAGCAGGATGGTCGATGTCAATTCTCTTGATCTCGTCAACGCCGTCCTGCTTAAACTATGGCTGAGTGTTAGCAGTGTCAAGCCTTGTAACACTTTGAGGCCTGACCTGAAGCAACAGCCTCTCCGTAAACTTGAGCTCCCACTCAATGCCCCTTCCGGGCGCAGCTACGGTCTCATTATCCGGAAGCCATTCCGCACCGTCTAGGCACACAGTAACTTCATCTCCGCTTTGAATCCCGCACTTTGCAACAGCCTTCGCACTGGATCCAGAAAATCGAACGCGAACTTGTCCTCTCGCGCATCGCAAACGGAAATCTGGCTCAGCAAGTAGAAAGGCCACAGAGCTGGCCGCAGAGCTGTATGGCCAGGTCAATGTAACCACCGCTTTTATCGACCTCGTGGAAGGTGTGGATAGCTCAGGGCTAAGCTGTGCGATCGGAATGTGTTCTGTGCTTTCGAGCGCGAGCGCGCCACTCATCTCCTCCGCCATATCAGCTCTCGGTGGACCTATCCGGCACGATGGATTTGATTCATTATCCGCGATTGGAGTATGAATGTCGATGCTTGTTGTTCTTGTACGATGTTCTTGTACGTTATTCTTGTACAGGAGAAAATAGTTTTCTCGGAAACGAAGCGCGATGGGGAGGTCAAGAGCGAGTTGGAATGTTTGCAATGACGCACCCTGGCCGAGATGGACCGCCGCTAGGCTAGCGCACTCTCTCGCGCACGTGATTAATCTATGAACAATGCAGTCAGGACCTCAGGTTCCAGTGAACATGGGAATCAGGAGTTTCCCTGGAATAGCAGCTCATACAGCCACGGATATCCAATTGTTAGGCACAACTTTATCAGTATTTGATCAATAACTTTATCCTTTAAGTCTTTATAAGTCTCGGCATCTCATCAGTACCCCACGCTTGCATTCGAAGATTATTTATATCACGTCGATTGGTCAAACCTGAGCCCAGGCTACTAACTACGACCTAAGTCTTTCCTTCTTCCTTTTTCTTTCTACTCCAATCTTTCGTATCAATCTTCTGTATATATCTCATTCCCAATAAACGGGCTCGCTCATATATACTTCCTTCGCCTATACCCGTAGCAAAGGAATTATAACATACGCTCATCAGTCAATTCCCAGATCAGGACAACATGGGGTCGATTTCACAGACGGCAGGAATCTTCAATATTAAGAGGATAGCGGTGGTTGGAGCGGGACCATGTGGGCTTGCAGCTGCCAAGTATCTCCTTGCTGAGAAGGCCTTCTCAACCATTGATATCTTCGAGCAACAGGCAGAAATAGGTGGAGTATGGAACTACACGCCCTCCTTGACGGAGCGAGTACCAGTGCCTCAAACAACCCCATGGGCACCTCTGGAGAAACCAACCTGGCCCAAGGGAGCTCCAGCGCCCATCTTTTCCAACCCGATGTATGAGACTCTCAACACGAATATACCCAAACCTCTCATGCAATTTTCCGATCAGGACTTTCCTGAGGACTCTTTGCTATTCCCTTCGCGCCAGGACGTTCAGGCTTACCTAGTCAAATATTCTCAGGATATCAGACATCTCATCTCACTGTCCACTCAAGTTGAGAATGTGATGTTATCGCAAGAGAATGGACAGGATTTGTGGACTCTCGTTGCCAAATCTACCATTACCGGGGAAAGGACAACAAAAGAGTACGACGCTGTTTGCGTTGCCAATGGTCATTACTCCGTCCCATGGATTCCAGATGTTCCCGGGATTAAGGAGTTCCATGCCGCCCATCCATCTATCATTTCACATTCCAAGGTTTACCGCTCCCCAGAAGGTTTCACAGACAAGAAAGTTGTTGTTTGCGGAAATGCTGCGTCTGGTTCGGATATCGCTAACCAGATCAGCGCTGTCTGCAAAAAGCCCCTTCTCAATTCGATCAATGGCCCTTCCACTTTCCAGCTACCGGTTGGTGGCGTTGTGAAAGAAGAAGTGCCCAAAATAGTCGAATATATTGTCGAAGGAAGAGCTGTCAAGTTCGAAGACGGAAGGGTAGAGAGAAACATCGACGCTATAGTCTATGCTACAGGGTATCTGTACTCTTTCCCATTTCTGAAGTCACTTGATCCTCCAATTATCACCACCGGCCGTCGAGCAATGGGCCTATACAAACAAATTTTTTGTATCAATCACCCAACACTGGTCTTTGCCGCCCTTGGACAGAAAATTATTCCATTTCCGTTCGCTGAAGCTCAAGGCGCAGCCATAGCTAAAGTCTGGTCCAATACCCTGGCCCTCTCGAGCAAGGACGAGATGGAAGCATGGGAAAAGGGTAGGGTGGAAGAGCTAGGAGATGGAACTGCTTTCCACGTTCTGGGCTACCCAAAGGACGCCGCATACATCAATTATCTCTATGACTGGGTCCAAGGGGCAAACAACGGATTTGCCAAAGTGCCACCATTCTGGGACGAGAGACTCTGCTGGCTGCGAGAAATCTGTGTCGACATCAGAAGGAAGTTTGCTGAGGATGGAATGAAGGCGAAAAGCTTGGAGGATCTTGGATTCCGATTCGAGAAATCGGATCACTAAGTCCAGCGTGCATCCGAACCGATCTGCCACTGTATTCCGTGTAGAATAACATACTCGGAGCTATTTACCTCTACAGCCAGTAGAATATGGAACTTGGCACAGTTGTGATTTTGCCGTATCTCAGTCACGTGTAGTCGCTATTCCTTTGTTCCGACCAAGTTACCTATTGTTCGCTCGCTTTCCTCGGAATCACTCTGCATCCGATTCTCAGGCAGCCGTCGACACATGATTGTCTGCGCGCATGTCCCACCAAGTTCTAGTCCGGTCCCAACGGTTGTATTGTATTCAGCATAGACTGAAATGCGCGATTGGATTTGTCATCAATTGATTTGTACATGTTATCTACTAGCTTCAAACATCGTAAACAAAGCTTGGACTACCCTACCCAGAATCGATTTTTCTCAGACCAGACTGCCGTCGTGGCCTTCCCATTATATACCTTTCTATCTGCTCTGATCTTGTATTTCCAGACGCCCACGCCACAGATCTTCTACCAGAACAACAGTCGTTCACAGAATCACATTACACTGGTCCGGATATGCCGAAGAGGCTACCAAGTGCCAATAGGGCTGAGATGGGTCCCGACTCAGCCCTTTCTCCATCCCGGGCATCGACTTTTGAGCCTCCAACATATACTATGAAGGATATATACGCAGCCATACCACCGCATTGCCTCAAACCAGACACGCTTCTCTCACTATACTACGTCCTACGAGATTTCTTCTATGCGGGCACTCTCCTATTTCTCGCCACCCAAATCCGCACTTTGCCCAACGAGCACCTCCAAGTTTTAGCAAGGATTCTCTACTCCTTGTTGCAAGGCCTCGTGTTCACGGGTATGTGGGAAATCGCGCACCAATGCGGCCACGGCGCTCTCTCACAGTCCCGACTCTTCAACAACGTCACGGGACTAATTCTCCACTCCATGCTCTTGGTGCCTTTCCACTCGTGGCGCCTCACTCACTCTACGCATCACAAAACCACCAACAACCTTGAAAAGGACATTGCATTTGTACCCAACCTGAAAGAGGATCATGAGAAGTTCCACGACGGTCACTCCAAGATCAGAGAATATGTGGAGGATATGCCCATCGTTGCACTTACACACCTCTTCTTCCATCAGTTGATAGCATTTCCCACCTACCTGACTATCAACAACTTTGCGTTGCCGAGGATGAATTGCTACCCGTGGTGGACGAGAAGCCATTTCTACCTTGGAGGCGATGGACCGAATTTTAGAGGCAGAGACAAAATGGATATCCTGCTTTCAGATATCTGTATCGCCATCTCGGGACTTGGGCTGTGGATCTTGGCTCGGTATTTCGGGGGCTGGAACGTGATGCTGTTCTACGGTTTCCCCTACCTATGGACCAACCACTGGATTTGTACGCTCCTTGGCCCCCTTTTTTCTCTCTCTACTGCCCATCAAAGATCAGCCAGTGCCAGAAATCAGAGCTAACGCCGTCCACAGTAACAATAACCTTCCTCCAGCACACCGACTTCTCCATTCCCTACTACCCTTCAGCAACATGGACATTCGTCCGCGGCGCCGCCTCGGCAGTCGACCGTGACTTCGGATGGATCGGCCGCCATATCCTCCATGGTGCCATCGAGAACCATGTCATGCACCACCACGTCTCCCGCATCCCGTTCTACTACGCCAATGAAGCTTCTGAAGCTGTCAAGAAGGTGATGGGTGTGCATTACCAGAGCGACTTCAAGACGCCGTACTTGTGGAGCTTTTGGAAGAACTATCGTACGTGTCGGTATGTGGAGGAAACTTCCAAGGGGAGCCAGATTTACTTTTTTACGAAGGAGCAATAGATCTGGTTTTTGAGAAATCCCGGACTTAAGCTTTTGTTTTACTTTTTTCTCCGTCAAAAGTTTGAGCATGGTCCTGGAATGGATTTGAGCGGTGTTTCGTTTTCCATTTATGTTGGAATCGTAGCGAGCGGGCGCTGGCGGTCATCAAATTAGATAGAGATGGGGGCGTGGGCATGGGCAGAGTCAGCCCGTCCTGTTTTCATGCTTCTCAGTGCTTGGAAGATGACGAGAGATACCCTACATTGGTCAAATATATATATCTGCTGCTTCGTACTATGTTCAACTTCCCGAGTACCACAGTATGCCGATCTTATCCTTCGGATCACTGCGTCTCCTATTGGTCACTTCCACCTTACGCAACCCTCCCGTCACCTGATGATACTTACGTACAGGTGAGATCCACCCCACAAATCGCTCGCCGGCCTCAGTCGAGTTCCAGCTTACCGGTTAACAGTCCGTATATCTATTCCCTTCTTTTACTAACGCAATGGACCCCATCAGCATAACCGGTACCCTAATCGCCGTCCTCCAACTCACAGCCACCGTGATATCCGTCTCATACGACTACAGACAAGGCGTCTCGTCCGCATCACGAGAAGTGCTGCAGATATCGTCGAGTCTGAACTCGCTAAAAGATGTTTTAGAAGCACTCCTTTCGCTCATCGAGAATTCTCCAAAACCATCAAAGTCCGGGGATGGAGATGGAGATGGAGATGGGTCCTCGAGGTTAGCGACAGTGGAAATGCTATGTCAAGAAGGCGGCACGCTGGAGAATTGCTCGAAGGAGTTAGAGAGGCTGAGAAGCAAGTTGCAGCCGAAAGCGGGATGGAAGAGGGTGAGGAGGAGTTTGGTGTGGCCGTTGAGGGAGAAGGAGGTGGGAAGGGTGTTGGGGGAGCTGGAGAGGGCGAAGAGCTTGATGGCATTAGCACTATCCGCGGACCAGGCGTGAGAAATATCTTCTCATTCATTGACTTTTTCGTTCCCTCGTCACACGAACAAATAGACAGCAAAATTCTGACATGAGGGTGCAGAACGCTGAGCATGGCTATTGAAGATCAAGTGGGAGGGCTGACGGAGATGGTTCAAAAGCAGGGCGAAGGTACGTCGCAGGCTAGCTGTTCTGTGCGTGAAGCAAATCTAAATGGCAAAGATCAGGTACGGCTGGACATAAACCAATGGCTGGCTGCTCCTGATCCCTACGTGGACCATGTCGCAAATCGGAAGAAACGGCAGCCACAGACTGGGACTTGGATCCTGAGGAGCAAGCAGTACGAGGAATGGCTAAGCAGCCCGAAGAGCTTTCTATGGCTCTACGGGATTCGTAGGTCCTCTCTCGGAAGTAAAACGATGGGGTTGACTGGGTCTGTGTAGCTGGGAGTGGAAAGACGGTGCTCTGGTGAGGCTTTTGACACGGCACCTGAGAACTGCATCAGAGCTAATTGGAGCAGCTCGACGATCATTGAACAACTCGTGCGATACTGCCAGAAGATGCCGAAAGCAGCCGTGGCCTATTTCTACTTCGACTTCAACAACGCCGGGAAACGAGACGTGGAGTCTCTCATCCGATCACTCGTCACCCAGCTCTCGGCCCAATCGCAGACAACGCCAGCTCTTCTCCTCGAGCTGTACAAGGAACACCAGAACGGCATCAGAGCTGCTGATGAGAGGACGCTCGTAGCAACTCTGCTGAATCTGATGTTAACTTTTCACAGTGTTTACATCGTCCTCGATGCCTTAGACGAAAGCAACGAATGTGACGAAGTTCTGCAATTCATTCATGGCCTGCAGAGCTGGGATCTATTACGGCTTCACATCCTCGCTACGAGTCGGCAGCTCGCAGAGATTGAAGAGTCATTGGCGAGCATTGCCACCAATAAGCTATGCTTGCAGGATGCTCAGATGAATGAAGACATCGTTCTTTACATCGCGGACAAACTGCAGAATGACAAGAAGCTGTCGAAGTGGCCGCCGGATATCCGCTTGCAGATTCAGGCCAAGCTACTCGAGGAGGAAGGCGGGATGTATGTCACCATGGGCCAAGATTATGGTCTGCGGCTGATCTCTCATGTAGGTTCCAATGGGTTGTCTGCCAGCTCGACATGTTCAACCGCTGCCTCTCTGTCGCTGCGGTACGGAAAGCATTGACTGCTGGTCTACCCAAGAATTTGGATCAGACCTATGATCAGATCCTCTCCAGCATTGACGAGGAGCATCTTGGTGAGGTCATGAAGATTCTGATGGCACTCACCGTGACCAAAGAACCCCTCACGCTCGACGATATCGTAGAGATTCTGGCAGTCGACCTGGAATGCACACCGCCTCACTTCGACGTAGATTCTCGACTCCTCGAACCTCGAAATATTCTCGCCATGTAAGCTCATGCGTGTTCCTCAACCTGAAAGTATCCGGGCGAGGCGGGTTGTTCTCCTCAGTACTCCTAACATCTATCTCTCTGCGAGCCAAATCTGCCTACTGACGACACCAGCTGCTCATCCCTGGTCACCATTTCAGCCCCCTCAGAATGGAGCCTAGATAGCCGCACCAACCCCCTTCCCCTCGGGAAGACCGCGAAGAGCAAGGAACCCACACCCATCTTGCGTCTCGCTCACGCCTCGGTAGCAGACTACCTCACCCAATCCCCCCCTCCTCCGACCAGCCCCCCAACGTTCCACTTCTCACCCACCACCGCCCGCCAGTTCCTCGCCCAGACCTGTCTCGGCTACCTCATGAACCCCCTCTTCGCCACCGGATTCAACCACAAATCCTACCCCTCCCACCTAGAAACCCACCCCTTCCTCGACCACGCCTCCAGCCGCTGGCCCGAGTACCTCCAGCGCGAACCCGGCGTTCCCCCCTTCTCCTCCTCCTCCTCCTCTCCCCCTTCCTCTTCTTCATCCCCCCCCGCGTCTCCCGACCTCAGCCCCCGAACCAGGGAAACGGTGCAGGCCTTCTTCGCCACAAGGGCGCTCCCCAACGGCGGCAACTTCGCCTTCTGGGTCGGCTGCCTGATCCCCGACACGCCCCTCGACTACATCCTGCGCACCCGGCCCCTGTACTACGCGGCCTCGTTCGGCCTCGGGGACCTCGTGCGCGACATCCTCGAGACGGAGGAGGACGAGCACGTCGACGCCCTGGGCGGGAGGGCGCAGTCGAGTGCGCTGCACGTGGCCGTGTACAGGAACCACCCGGACGTGGTGAGGATGCTGTTGGAGAGGGGCGCGGATCCGAACCTGCCGAACGTGAGGGATGAGAGTCCGATGCAGTGGGCGCGGAAGAATGGGGAGGTGAGGGAGTTGCTTCTGGAGTTTGGGGCGCGACAGCGGGATGCTGGACTAAGAGAGCAGACTCCGCAGGAGGCCTTGGATGAGGTGTTGGCGGAAAGGATGTTCATCTCGCTTGAGAAGGGGGAGTAGATACTTGTTGGACTACTTTGCGGCGTAGTTGGTTTTGGACATGGAATACCCAAATCAACTGCTCACAAAACATCACATGCAGGTTAAGATTATTAGTTCTAATGATTGTTGCGACTGCTCATTACTTTTTATGTAACCAGACAGCAACTGCCAGGAAACCAGCAGCAAAGACAGAAACGCCCGCCCTCCAGCAGTCACACACCTAATCCTCCTTCAGGACACCAGCGAAAGAAGTCTTCTTGGCGCGTGTTGGCTTCCCAGCATTCAAGCCCTTGGTGCCGATCTTGTTCTTGCTGTAGGCAGAGGCGTATGGGTTCAAGCGGAGAAGGACCTGCTTGTTGCGCAGCGGGTTCTTCTTCTGGACACCAGCGCGCTTGGTGCGAGCTTGACCGATGGCAGCACGGATCACGGATTGCAGTTCGGAGGAGTTGATCAGACGGCTGATATCAGGTTGAAAGACGACGGGGGATGGGAGCAGGAAGTCCTTCTTGAGGTCCGAGGGGATGGTCATGGAGCCGTAGATGTTATCGAGGGCCTTGAAGGCGGCGGAAGTCCAGATGATGAAGCGTCCGAGGTGGCCACCTGGTGCGAGTTGGAGGAGGTTGAGCGCGAAGACGGATGAGGTCTCAACGCCGGAGATGTTGCGGAAAGCAAGGGAGAGCTCCTTTCCATCAACCTCAGGGTCGTAGATAACGAGAGGTCCACGACGTTGTCTGTGGCGGCGTCCACGAAGCTTACCCTTACCAGAGCGGAGCTTGCGGGAAGCCTTGACCTTCTCGACATCTGCGAGGGCACCGACAGACTTCAGTAATCTAGCGGCAGAAGATGTGCGGGCGATGGCACCACCAGCGAAGACCTCGGAGTTGATGACGAGAGGAACCTCTGGGACGGTGGAGACCTGGTGACCACGGGCCATGAGGAGAGCTGGGACGGAAGAAGCAGCCAAGGCGGAGGCAACAGCGTATCGCCTGGAGATTGTTAGAAGATAGTTTTTGAAATTACGAGGAAGGAAAACTCACTTTTGACCGAGGTTGATCTTTTGGTGCCACTTTCTCCAGACCTTGGTAGGTGCGAACATACGACCAGATCTGCACATGTTACCGAAAGCAGCTTGTCCGGCACGGTGGGTTCCTCCTCCAGAGACACGGGGAATACGGGCAACAGCGCGACCTGTATCCAGTTAGCCACCAGTCAAAACCCTTCAGCATGTTTCCTCCCCCATCGGATTCCCAGACCTTGTCCCGGATGCCAAATGTTGTATTTACGGGTGGGAACATGAGCGGAGATAGATGCTCATTTTGACGCGCGCGGGTGTACTAACCAGTTCCCCAAGACTCAGCAGAGGTTTGGTGACCAGCCTTCTCGCTCACGGCGTATGGTTGTCTCTTGTTCTTGGCCATTCCGGTGTGGACAGTCTGGACGATATCCGGGCGGATGGGCGAGTTGAAGACCTGTGATCCATACTATCAGCATTCATGCCGTATTGTTTTCCCATTCGTCTCTCGGTCTCGAACTCAAGTTCGCAATATCGATCCAAGTCCTCCAGTTCTTTTCCTCCCTCCGCAGTCTACTTGCGCACTGATTCGCGCATTGTCCTGTTCTTCCCAAACAAATTTCCCTCCACCGCAAAATTCTCATCAAAGTAAATGGAGGACAGTCGTACCTTTGGAAGCGGGTGGCTTGCACCGCTGGCAGTGCCATCAGCGGACAAGATGGATACGGTAGGACGGGAAGCCATCTCGACGATGTGCTGGCGATGTCGTTGGTGGTGGGTTGTCGATGTCGTTGATTAATTCCCTGTAATTCGAAAGTTGAACCGAAATGCTGTGTGGGAATTTAGCGAATTTAGATATCACGTGTGTGGCGGTGAAGTGTGGCAGTGGTCATCAAGTCGGCAAGCCCCACAGGTTATGATGACGACACTCCACCAGCTGTGAAGATGAGTGATTGTGAGATGATGTAGGATTGGTCCTACGACAATTATTTTCAGAATATGCATACATGACTGTGGGCATCTCTTACCGGCCACTGATCGTATTATTTCCCCGGAGATCCATGAAGCCCAGAACCAATGCCGCCAACTTCAATCGTCGCAAATACTCAACTCTCACGGGCACTGTATAGGGAGAATTTTCTTAAGGTTCCGGTTGTCTCTGAGGCATCCGGAAGAAATTATGTTGAAAATCTACTCGTAGGCCGACTACTGGGTGGGAAATCAATGGTCATAGACCGACTGTAGTGCCCTGGAGTACATGCAAATGGACCTCTTGAGACCCATTGAAGTGGTGTCTCTCCATTCCTTCGAGTACACAGCCAATTGGGGGATATGCAAAGCTCATCTCGCCATTGTTGTCGGCCCATCCTCGCGCCTAACACCCCATAATTTCCCTGCAACAGCACATTTCTCATCGCAAATTTCGTAGCACATCTCCTTGCATCCTCGATCCAAAACCCTTGCTCCCGCACCATCCATTCAGCTAATCCATATCTATCTCGCCTCAACTCTATTACACGTTGGTTTCGGCGCCTCTACCTTCCTCAGGGTATTCCATGCCTGCACACTACCATTTCGCTCTCTGTCCTCCCTCTGCTTGCGCCTCAGCTCCATACTCTCTTTTTGCTTCTCAATCTCATCCTGCGATCTCTTTGGCAGTCGCATTCCCAGACCCGCGCAAATGAATCGTCTGGCCACCTGATCGCTGGTTTCTGGACGAGAGCGTAGGGTGCTTGCTCGCTCTGGCGGTGTCGGGGTTGGAACTGGCGTGCTTGGCTCGGAGTGGACGATGTTGGAGGCGTCCTTTGACTTAAGTTCTGGCTGAGCTGGGGCTGAGATAGCGTCTGGTCTGGCCGGGCTGCTTGATTCGGGTTGCGTCGTTGTCGGACTCGTTGATTCTGCTCTAAAGGGTTGTGAGCACGCCTGGATCGAGATAGTCACGGGTGCCACGGGAAATTTTGGTGGGGAGATTCTAGCAAGGACTGGACCAGTAGGTGAGGTTGGGGGAGGTAGCTGCGCTGGCGCAGTATTTGATCGTAGACGGGCGGGATTCGATCTCTTTGACTGGTGCTCAGTCTCGTCATCCTTTTCAACTACAAGATACATGAATAATTCCTTGCTCTTCCTCTTGCGTACTTGCTCTGGCTCATCAAACCCCTTTGGCTCTACAGGGCTCTGTCTTGCATCTGGGAAGAGCTCTCTGGGAGCCGAGACCCCCGGCTGCAAGACTGGGAATAGCTCTCTGGGAGCCGAGACCTCCGGCTGCAGAACTGGGAACAGCTCCTTCGGGGCGGCAATCTTCCAATCTGATGTCGAACCCGCACACAGCTCCTTCCTTGCGCTCTGTACCGCGCCACCCCGCAAATTCTTGTTGTCGAACGCCTTGATCATGCATTCGTCTTCCGCGTGGGCGTGTCTCATCGGCGGCAGCGGCTCCCTCGAGTTTCTCTGGGCGAACTCGCGCCAGCTGTGGACAGTAGAGACAGTTGTGGCGATGGTGTTGGTGGTGCGACCCATCGGCTTTGCCTCCCCGTCGGTGATGCTGGATAGGTTGCGCTGCCACTTTTGCCCCACGCCGTTCGTGCTTTGCGCTTGGAGTGGAGTCTGGGTTGGGACGTGGGTGGTCCTGTGAAGAGAGAGCGGGTCCGTGGCTGCTGGTACAGAGTGCCCCGGGACGGTCATGTCTGCGATCGAAGGGGTTCTGGTAGTGATATGACCTGCGCTGTGTCGTCTCGAGTGTAGATCCGAGATGCTAGAAGTGATTACTCGCGTTGTGGTCGTGGTCGTGGCCGTGGCCGTGTCTGGGAACCCGAAGTATGTTGGCAGTGGACTCGCGCGTTCGTGAGTAATCCTGCGGGGAGTGCACCGAGTAACCGGGAATGAGCTTTCGAGCAAGCAAGAGTCATCGTCTCTCTGGAGGTGAGGCTCTCTTTGGTTCGCGCCTTATTTGGACTGGTGGGGGTGAATGTAGTCATACCAAGCCAGCCCTTATTTGGCCGATTTTCGACTTTCAAGAATCGAGGTTCGGATGAGTTGAAGGTGGTCCAGAAAGAAAACGACTGGATGACTCCATCGAAGGAGGACAGAGGCAACTTTCGTTTCTTCGTTCCTGCCGTTTCGAGGGCCCGGGTATACAAGGTTACGAGACGAGACGACTTGTGACGAATCCGCTTGTTGCTCTTCCGACAATATTACTAGCTAATGCGATGTGCAACAAAACTTCTTCATCTTCTTCTTCTATACCACAAATCGCAAGCACAAGCCAGATTCTTTCCTCGTGCTGGTCGGCCAACAGCAGCGTGCAACCAAATGTTCTCAGGCATCGGATTCTGAGGAAGCGAATCACAAGTCCCAGAACTCGTTCGCAGCTCGCGGTGATTGGCCATTGCACTCTAGCAAATCCCGAGCCCCATTCTGACAGCTCCGTCCAGCCATTGGCCAACACGACATGCAACAAAATCCGCTTGTGCCTGCTCTTTTGATATGACGCTCATCAAACCACCCAAGGGACCTCCCTCCTATCGACTACTATGTTCTCTTCGCACGCATTGATTGGCTACTGCGATATGCAACAAAAGAATCCCGCCCCGCCCCCTCATATCTTTCTCTACCCGCCTCCTGGTATCTCTAATAAGTAAGAACATATATATCTCAGGGTATCAAAAGTAGCCAGGTGGATCCCGATATCTGGCACTTAGTTCTGCCCAGAGCGGCATCTCGCTTCGCTTATCAATGCGACATGCAAACACAACAGTCGGATGAATCTGGATCTGGACGCCTAAACACGGAGGAGGATCTGCTCTGCAAAATGGAAGGGCTCCCCTCATGAGCATACCGGTAGATGCCTCTCTCTATCTGTAAGCGATTTTCAATCACTCCAGCCGACTGATAGGTATTCACATCACAACATCACAACAATGCGAGTCATCACCCCCTTTTCCGCCGATATGTACGTAGTACGTGTCAATCAGTCAGCCAAACGTCGTCCCATCTCAACTATATATACAACTATATATACAATCATGCGCGCAATCTACCCGCGACGGCCCCACCAGAACCCGCGGACCACATCGCCAAGACGAACCTACTCCACCCCCCCCCCTCCGCACGTCCCCCCGCCAGGCGTCCACGGTATTTAAGCTTATTCAACCAGCTGCACGTCTCCTTTAATCTTACATACTTACAGCACGAAAAGGGATGTCATTCGTTATTCGTCATCCCGTTATCCGTTTCTCGATGACAGATGTCAAATCTCAGCCGTCCAGAAGGCCGATGAAGCGAAAGAAAAAAAAAAAAAAAACTCTAAACGCTCGGTCTTCCCCGTGCACGCGTATTTTACATTGATCCAGACTGATAGTGATTGATATTAATTGACATGAACTGATTGCTCGAAGAAAGAGAAAGGGTATTTCATCTCATTTTACTTCCGTATGGCGGCTACCTAGGGACTAGGTGCGTACCAGTATTCTACACGCGCACAAGTACGGTCTGTACGGTAGGTAAACCAACGAGCACCAGTCCGTCTCGGATACCGGCTCTGCAACGAGGTCTGAGCATTGAAATCATCTCATCACAGTACTGGTACGCACATACTGTATCCCCGCCTTTGCCGAGAGTATTAAAATCCTGGCTGCACGGAGCACTGTACTGTAGTAGTAGTAGTAGTAGTAGTAGTAGTAGTAGTAGTAGTAGTAAGTAGTACTTGAGTAAGACCAAGGGATCCATCCTACTACTTACTCCTGTACTGTATGAGTCGCGTCACGCACACATACCTACATACCTACCTACCTAGTACATACCCGTAGCCGCCAAAAAACAAGCAAGCACCGGTTACCCCATCCCCCACGTCGAGTCCCAGTTCCCACACGGGATCCAGATACCTACGGACTACCGTCCTACCGTACCGTCCTACCACGGGTGGAACACCGGGGGCGGCCGATCATCTGTCCTGCCGTGCCCGTGGACTCCGGTAAGAGGACGGGCGATCTGGCAGCCGGGCAGGTGGGCAGTCTCGCCAAGACGAGATATACAAGTAAGTACAAGTACCGTAAGTACAAGTACCACGCTACAGTACAGTACAGGCGGGATTATTCCCCCCGGGAAGGGTGCCTCCACAGTTGGGTTTCCACTGCTTATAAACCCCCTGGCGTACCCTGCCCCTCGGCGGGTAATACTTACCGGTACTTACGCCTGGGACGTAGGCTGTGCCTGGGCATCATCTACCGGTACTGCGTACGTACTTGGTTAGCTGGGTACCTTTACTGGTACTGTACTGTACTGTACTAGCAGAAAGGCTCATTTCCGCACATGATTGTAAAACACTCCTACCGGTATTACCATCATAAGTCGTAAGTCATAAGTCATAAGTCATAAGTCATAAGTCATAATAGTAATAACAATAATAATAATAATAATAATAATAATAATAATAATAATAATAATAATAATAATAATAATAATAATAACAGTCCAAATCGGCCTCCCCAGCCAGGCTACCTACCTACCTTACCTATCTATTTGTTCCTGCGTCATCTCCATCTCCCAAGCCTTCAAGGGGGGATGGGAGGCAGGGGGGTTTCCTTTCCTTTCCTTTTCCTCCCCCTCCTTTTTTTTTTCTTTTTTTTCTTTTCTTTTTTTTTTCTTTTTTTTTCTTTTTCCCCCTTCCTATTTTCTTCTTCTTCTTCTTTTGATTTCGCGCCCTCTCCCTCTCCCTCTCCCCTCTCCCTCTCTGCCCGAGAAACAAACACCTCACCGCACACGTAGAGTAAGTAAGTAAGTAAGTAGATAACCGTAGAGGGTACGTAAAACAACCATGTAAACAACCACCACCATCACCACCACCACCAAGAAAAAAGAAAGAAACCACACACGAGTGATCCTCCCTCCCGACTTCCCTCCCTGCTTAGGATACCGTAGGTATGCCCACCGGTGATCCTCCTCCTCCTCCCTCCCTCCTCCCTCCTCCCTCTTTCATCTACGCATCTACTACTACCTAGGTACTACGTACGTATCTATCCATCTGCATGTCGTGCATACACATTAATACATACATACAGCCCCCTATCTCCCCACCCCTCCCCACCCCATCCCACCCCACCCCACCACCGCCCCCTAATCCCGCGTAAACACGGACGAGAGCAAGCGAACAAGCGAGCAAGCATCCCTCTTCCATCTTCAGATCGGTACCTCGTAGATGGATGGACGAAGCTATACGGTAACGGGAGAGAGGAGACCGTTGCGGTGAGCAAGAAGAAAAAGAAAAAAAAGGAAAAAAAAAAAAATAATGAGGATCTGGGATGGATGGATGGATGGATGGATGTATGTATGTATGTATGGATGTGTGACTTGGTACTCCCTACTCAACAGTCTTGTACCATCCACACCATCACCACCACCAACAACAACAACAACAACAACAACAACAGCATCAATGAAGTTAAGATGCGTGCACGCATACATATCTATATTAAATATACCTACAAATACACAAATAATTAGATAATTATAAATAAATAATTAAATAAATAATTATGAATATAACACACACCCACATACACCTATTACCACCCACACACCTATTACCACACATTACCACACACACCTCTCACCACCTCTCACCACACCCATCACCACTCCCAAAGAAGAAGCCGAAGCCGAAGCCGAAGCCGAAGCCGAAGCAAAAGAACAACAACCACCCATCCTCCACAACCCCTCTTCCCCTCTTCCACCCCTCCAAAAAAAGAAAAAAAAATTAAATAAATAATTAATTAAATAAATCCACCAGCCAAGCAGCCAGCCAGGCAGCCAAGCAGGTCAAGAGCTACTCATTCTCATTCCTACTCTTATCCTCATTCTTATCCTCATTTAGAGAGAGAGAGTTAGACACACACACACACACACAGAGAGAGAGAGAGAGAGAGAGATCGAAGCAGAGAAAACCTTTAAAAGATGGATTAAAAAAATATAAAATATATATATATATAAGCAGGGACTCCATCCCTGAGACCACGAAGGAAGGGAGAGAGGGATTCTATCCCTAGAGACCTAAGGAGAGGAAGAAGGAGGAGGAGGAGGAGAAGGAGGAAGAGGAGAAGGAGGAGAAGAAGGAGAAGGAGGAGAAGAAGAAGGAGAAGAAGAAAACTCTTTTGGTATATTTTTCCGTTGCCCGAGGGGTGGTAGGTAGGTAGGTAGGTAGGTAGATAGACTGACTTGTACGGGACGTGCCATTATGTGGGTCCTCGCCAAGAGAGAGAGAGAGAGAGAGAGACAGAGAGAGAGGACCAAAAATAGGTAACATTTACCACCAGATCATTGCCCCCCACCCCCCCGAAATAATAGACAAAAAAAAAAATTTCATCATCCCGTGAATCGGAGAAAAAAAAAAAAGGTAAATATTCCCCCCGCCTCCGAAAACAAATTTTGGATGTCAAGTCCAAGTCTAGTGCTTTCGGGGCTGCCAGCTGAGCCCAGTCTCGCAGTAGGTATTAGTTTGGTGTTGCTATTTTAAAAAGTGTGTGGCCGGCAAGCCGGGCCATCCCAGCCTTCAAGGGAAAATGAATGAATGAATGGTTGATATCCGCGTCGCGTCGCGTCGCGTCGCTCTGAGCCCTCGTCTAGCGACCCTTCAAGCTCTTCCTTCGCCCCAGCCCGAGGCTAAACGACTTCCGGGCCTCGCGGCCCCGCGGCATCGAGCTGTCCTCCGGTATGGGCGGGGGCACGAAGATGGTGCTCTTCATGAAATCCTCCCAGCTGATGGGGGCCTCTCCGGAAGCAGGCGCGAGGGGCAGCGTCTCCGCCCTGCGTATAGAGATGTCGATCTCGCGGCCCTGCTCGGCCGCACTCTCCTCAAAGAGCTTGGGTGTCGGCGGCTCCGGGTTGGAGTTGATGCGCGTGAGCTCTGGCGGCGCCATCGTCGACGTCCGGGGCGAGGAGGAGTGATATGTCGCGCTGAGCATCTGCGTGGACGGTTTCCGCGCCTTGGACAGCGTCCGCGAGAGTGACCTCTTCCACGCCGAGGAGGAGGAGGACATGGAGGTGGGCGTCTTGGGCGTCTTGGGTGTCTTGGGCGTGGAGGCGGTCGGGAAATCGGTCGGCGTCAAAGGCGGTTTGTGGGATGCGGAGTGCGCGTACGGATCGGAGTCGAGAAACGAATGCTGCGAGGTGGCCGACCGAGCACTGGGGGTGGAGAGAGCGCTCGAGACGGAGAGGTTCTTCTTCGACAGATTGACGAAGGATGCGAGACGGGATGGTTTCCGCTGCGCGCGAGGAGGGACCTGGCCTGACTGCGTGGATAAGTTGACCAGGGAGGCGTTGGTGTGCAGCGCTGGCGTGTATGCAGTGCTACTCAAACCATCGAGGGTGGCGGTGGACATGGGCCTCGCCGAGTGCAGGTTGAGGGGAGCTGGCCTTCGGGCGGCGGGGCGGCGTTTGGATGGCTCGGGAGAAGGGGCTCTGATAATGGGGAGGTCGGCAGAGAAGTGCATCTCGTGAAGCTTCTCCTCTGCAGGCATGTCTGTGGGCGAGACGTGGTTGGACCGGATATTGATCTTGACGATCTGCGGCTTGCCGACGACCTTGAAGTTGACTGCGGTCGCCGTGACTTCCCGGGACTTCCTGCTCGACGTTCGGGACGGGCAGCCCGTGGATTCGTCGTCGGAGTATGTGCTATCGAAGTCGAGAAGGGAGTCCGAGTCGTCGTCGTCGTCGTCGTCGTCGTAGTCGTCCGAGAGCGAGGCCTCTTCCTCGCTCGAGAGGTACAGCTCGTGAGGATCGTTCTGCTGCATCCTGGAAATGCCGTCGCTACCCTTCTTCATGTTCACATTCACCGTGTCCAAGGCCAGCACCACATCATCCGACATTCTCGACGCTCGCTTTGGACTCCTCTGCAGCAGCGCCGGCACTGATGGCTTCTGAGGCGGAGCTTGTAAGGGTGATGCTTCGGCGGCCATATCGCTGTTGACAGGTTCGACGGGAGCGAATTCGAGCAAATGTTCTGCTGGCTGCATCGGTCCTTGGTCGTCGGCCTTGTGGTCGCAGTCCAGGTTCTTCCCAACGACGGAATAGAATAAAGGAATGGTAGAAGAGACCGAGGGTTGCAACTTCCCAGCCCGGTTCCTGGGGACCATTTCGCTAATATAAGCGGGCTCCAGGGTGCTCGCTGTCTCTCAGTCTCTTTCTCTCTCTCTCCCTCTCTCTCTCTCTCTCCTTTTCGAGATTCGTTGCGAAACACGGGACGATAGTAACGCGAGGGCCACCCTTGGCACTCTTTGCTATCCGCAGTGCCGGCGAGCTCTTGCCTGTTCGTGCCGAGCGCGTAAGAATAGATACCTACTTAGTACTTAGTAGTAGTATTCGATACTATATCTAGTAGTAGATACCTAGATGGGTACTTCTAGAAAGGAACGGGCGTCCGTTTCGGTTTAGCGAATATGGGAAATCGAAATTAAAGGGAGCTTCGCGGCGCGGCGTGACGGGCGTCGGTAATCTAGATAGTGCAGCGGTGGAGCCTAAATAGACGACGTTTCGATGGAGAAAGGTGGAGAGGGATGTTTCGAGTTGATCTTCGCAGAAGGAGCTCCGTAATGCAACCCACAAGGTAAGTACCTGCTGGGCCGTGCTGGAAGGGGTCTCTCGTATGGGTACGAGAGCTTGCGAGGCGATGTGTTGAGTGCACTTAGTCGAGTTTGATATTCCGACGTCGACAGGTCCACTGACGATTGAAGGTTTGCTGGATGAGGAGGGATGGGGAGGGAGGATGGGACGATGTTTCGTTGGGCAGTGCGTCGATATATATATGTACCTATATATATGTGTGTGTGTGTGTGTGTGTGTGTGTATATATATATATATGTATGTATACCTACTACTATGTCATGTTGTAGCACGAGACAGGTCTCGATGGGCAGGGAGTCCATCAAGTTATGTACGTACGTATGATATGTGCTCTGTATAATAATAGCACTCCGTATGCCGAGCTCGACACGACGGTAGGGAAGTGGATGGGATGATAAGAAAAGTCATAATGATGGAGATAATGCGGGTGGAGTCGATGGCATCTGCATCTGCATCTGCAGCTGCAGATGCAGATGCAGATGCACGTGCACATGCAGCTGCAGCCATGATGCATTGCAGGGCAGGGCAGGGGCGGAAGTGGGGGGGAAGATGGGACGAAGGGACGATGAACGAAGGGACGATGGGACGAAGAGCTCCCACCTCAAATTCCTCGCTTGAGACTCTGACAGCTTCAGCTGGCCCACCACTTGTATTTTCGTCCTCAGCTTCTCACAGCTACAGCTACACTACTTCTGACACCATCAGTACCTTACCCTTTCACCCCCCGAGATCCCATCTCACCTCATCTCACCTCATCCCATGGGCCCCAAGAACGGCACAGACCGGTACCGGTACATGATACATGCTTCGTACGGGGGAGGGTCAAAGCCAGAGCTGCAACTGCTGCTGCTGCTGCTGCTGCTGCTGCTGCTGCGACTGTCAACCAGTGCTTTGTTAGAGTTTAGTGGGACGAACGTTAAGAGGTATGCAATTGCGGGTACTTGGCCACTCTTTCATACGACCCCAACACCCCCCCCCATCTCAATTGACTCTCAAACCTCCGGCACGCTTTATTTCGAGCGAAAAGGTTTTTCCCCAACCACGGGCGGGCCAGCCTCTCCGAATAGCAGTACCAAAGGACGCGGAGGAACAAAAGAGAAAGTGCTGTCGAGTACGATGCATACGGATGGAGTACTTGTTTGATCGCCGGGCCCAACGAGCGCTTTTATATCTGGCACTCGCTGCTCCTCTCACAACGGAGTCGATTGCACGAAAATATCAACAAGTCAGAAACGTCAGCCAAGGCATGCATACAGGTGGTATCACTCCCTATGCAACCGATCAGCACTCCGAAAAAAAAAACCCCCCAGGAAAACCTTAGCTATTTTCTGCCACACACGATTGCTAAATCTATGTATGGTACCGGTACACCCCCATCTGGTCTAAAATTATAGCAGAATATATATAAAGAACACTCTGTAACTACTACGTAACCAGCGGTGTACGGAGTACCGATGCCACAGAATTCTTGCCGGCCAAGACGGAGACCCGCTCCAGCCTCGTACCGCGGGCCGCCTGACTTGGGCTTCACGAATGGGCCGGATCGGGCTCAGAGGTAAGGTACCGGTAGGTACAGACAGGTGGTCCCTAGGGATACAGTAAGCAGACGGACCTATGAAAACATTCTCACAAGTTATCATGTTGTAAGAAGTATAGCTGCAAGCCCAATGAACGAATTTTTATTTTTATCCACCGACCTGCGAGAATCATAGCGCAGATGGGCCAGGTGCGAACGGTGGGTAGGAACACGAACAGACGGCCCATCCTGCCCGTACAGTACTCCGTCCCCGTCCTCTCGTCGTAAGCCAAGCTCTGATGATATCTTTCTCTCTCCCGTACCGTATCCCACATGCAATGCAATCCGACCGAATCGAGTCCCTCCAGTCCTTACTTATTCTTCCCGTGCAACCGAACCCATCCCGCTTTTTCCAGAATGATTCTAGCGAGAGGGCCAGCCGCAGTCGCGAAAGCCGCCAACCATCTCCCACGGTACGGGACGTAGTACGTATCTAGCTAGCTACGTATCTAGCTAGCTACGTCGCTAGCCAGCTAGGCGAAACTAACTAACCCACTACCTTACTTAACTACATATCGTCACGCCGCAGACCGCACCACCCCACACTACACCACACCACACCACACCACACCGCAACCTTCGCCAGGAAAAAAAAAGAAGAAAAAAGAAGAAAAAAAGAAGAAAAAAAAATCCTCCTCACAGCCACCAACTCTAAACGTCAGAATGGAAGGAGAAAGAAGAGACTAACACCCACACACACACACACCAGGAAAATATAGGGTTTCCCCTCTGTTTTTTTTTCAGCCAAGCCACCACGCAGCCGGCTGGCTGGCTAGCTACCTGCGGACGGGAGAGGGTACGATACCTAGTACGATAAGTACTTAAGTAGAGAAAGAACAACAGAGGAACGAGACCCGTTCCGAGATCCGTGGGCTGCCTTGGGAGGGGATGGGAGGGGATGGGGTGGGAAAAAAAGAGTCCGTATGACTCCGTGCTGGGCTGGGCTGGCTGGCTGGCTGGCTGGCTGGCTGGCTGGCTGGTACTGTGATACATCTACACTAGACTAGACTAGACTACACTACTCTATAATCGTCGACGATGTTGTCGCATAGCCGCTCTTTGAGACGAGACGACTTCTCTGATCCGATGTATCCGATCATCTATCTATCTGCTTGTCTATCTGTTTGAGAGCGGTATGGGATGGAGGAGGCAGGTGAGCAGGTACACATATACATACATACAGGTATATAGGTATATAGGTATATAGGTATATAGGTATATAGGTAGGTAGGTAGGTAGAGATATCGATAGCGGATCCACCTCGAGCTAGTTAAAGGTAGGTACCTACCTATCTGTAAGGTAAAGAGGGGAGAGGTAGATGGACGTGGACGTGGACGTGGACGTGGACGTGGACGTGGACGTAGACGCAGATATAGATATGGATATGGATATGGATATGGATATGGATAAGAAGAGTATAACTGACTGTTATGGATAGAATCGGTGTGTGTGTGTGTGTGACCTCCATCATCTACTTATCAGCTACATATATACATACACATATACACACATACATATACATACATATACATATATAAACATATACACATATAAACATAAATATCTATATCAAACCAAAAACCAGAAACCCAAACCCCTACACCCACCCATCCACCCATCCACCCATCCACCCATTCCCTTCCCTTCCCTTCCCTTCTATCCCATCCCATCACGCACCTGCCCAAAAGACGAGGGAGGGACCGCCTCCCTATCGATCCACACCAGACCCAGGAGCTGCGGTACACACCTCCTCCCTCCCCTCCCCTCCCCTCCTCCTCC